TGCCTTTGCACCATCTAAGACTACTGAACCTGCTTAGGAAGAGGGGCATTGCTGGGATAGCAACACAAGGAGAGGGCTTATGAGTGAAACCCCTTTCTGTACTTTCCTCATATTTAGTGTCTTGTTTCACACTCACATGCCCAGCACGAGTCCTCCCTATTCCGTGATGTTATCGATAAAAAATTCACATGGCCAGCCTCCGGTGGGTTTTCTGATCATATGGTCCATTATGATGAACACATAGATGCCCTTGATGGAGATTTATTTTTCTGCCATGACAGTTCCTGGAATTGCTGAGCTCTTCCCAAACTTCCAGCTTCAGAGTAGTTAAGGACACTCTCATTTTGACTAGAAGTTTCACCCTCCCTTGTCTTTAGGGTATACGTCTAATAACCTAACATTTAGGAGATTGGAAAAACAATCTAACTCGACTCCCACTCTGTTGTCTGCCCATTTGCCTCCCTTTTGTGCATTTTGGGGGTGGAGCGGAAGGAGGTTCCAGAAAGTCTTGCCACCTTGCGCATCTCATCTCTTAGAGCAGTCAGTCACAGAAAATGCAGATCCTTATATCAGAACTGCTGTTTCAGTAACTGTGTCTTACATGAAAACAATAACATAATTTTAATGCAACTCTCTGTTTCCATTTCGTGTTTTGAATTCACAGTTGACCATGAATGATTTCAGCGTACACAGGATCATTGGACGAGGAGGATTTGGTGAAGTGTACGGTTGCAGGAAAGCAGACACTGGAAAAATGTAAGCTCTTTATGGGTTTTATGCTTGCATTAATAGAAAATGCCTACATCAATTTATGGAAGCCCATCTTCCCACTCCTGAAGTGCCTTACTTCAGGTAGAAAGAGGCAATATTTTGTTAAGCATTGTAAATGAGAACCATCAGCTGGAACTTCCACTTCTTAGGGCTCAAAGGGAAATTAACCAGGTACCGTGGGTCATGAGCCCTTGTGGTTCAGGCCACGGGTGAAGGAGCCTGGGATCTGGAGGTGACCAAGAAGGGGCATTATGTACAGCCTCCCGGTCCGATCCTGCTGCAAAGAATTCTCTGCTTTGCGGAGGAGAGACATTCTCTTCTAAATGGTGAAGCACCTGTGATTTAGCATATGCCCTTTGGCGTGGTGTAGCTTTCCAGGAGATGTCAGTTCCATAGATGGGTAGCCTGAAGCTGGTGAAAAGGATGCCCTGCCTGCTGTGAGGATCACGGTCATGGGGCTCCATCACCGTCTTAGTTGCTTATCTTATAGGAGGAGGTTGATGTGAGGCAGTTACGTGCACATGAGCCAGGTGCAGGCCTCTTCCAGAAGGTGAATGGTCTTGGAGTTCTTAAGGAGTGCAGGGGGAAAAGATGTTTTGGTTTTTCTAAATATAGAAGGAGTTTGTTTAAGTGAACATATATCTGGAAGCAAAAGAGAATGGGAAAGTACAGTTCGACAGACACAGAACTACAAGTGTGATCAAGTGACAGGCCTGTTAGAGCCGTGGCTGAGTGGAATCGGCTGTGCAGCTTCCTTGATAACCTCACTGTAGGTGTAAGAAGGAGTAATTGGGGTCACCGACTTCAACGCCCGCCTCTCCTGCCACACCAGCACTGTCTAGCGAGCATTGTCACTCAGCCTCTGCTCGGGTCCTCCCTGTGACTGGGCACCGAAGGCCTTACCAAGTCGCCCTCCTACTTTTCAGACAGGTTCTGTCATGGGCATGATTTTTATTATGTGGGGGCTGAAGGTTACCTTCACTGATGTGTGCCCGCTGGTCTTCTTCCTGTTGTAGGGCCCCGTGCGGGGTGAACCCAGTGTCTGGCACTCAGGCGCGTAAAGTCTGGGGCCCTGCTGAGACAGGATGCCTGTCGATCCAGAGTACGGGTCTGGGCGGCCCATGGCCGGGTCATAGCTGGCTTGCACAAAGTTTGTGCCTCCGCCCAGCCTCGGCATCCTGGTCTCTAGGGTCAGGAAAATACTTCCTCCTCGTGAGAATTGGATGAGATAATACACTTTAAGGCATGCAGACCACTGCCTCTTCCATAGTCAGTATTAGTGAACGGTGTGCCCAGGTCCCTCGTCCCACCATAGTCCCACAGTGGGCTCTGATCCTAAGTGATGTGCTTGTCACTTACTCCATTTCACCGACTGTTCTTTCACCTTCATCACTGTGGCTTGTCCACATATTTAGGGGATCTGCTAATCTGCCATACGATGTAGATGTAGAAATTAATGACATCAGCGCGTCTCTTTCATTACATTTATTATTTTACAGATTCTCAGTGTGTGGAAAACTGTCTTCTACTTTCCAGATTAAGGGTAGATGCTTACCGAGAGTCCCGCAGCTAGAAAGTGGCCAGGCTCAGTCCCTGTGGATCCGGGCGTGTGTCCTTCCAGTCCCCAGGCTGCCAGTGACATGTGCACTGGCTCCGGAGCCCATCAAACTGCCACCTACCTCAGAAGCCAGTGGAAGCCAACTTGCTCAACCCAGGGGCTCCAGGCCCGTTTATGCCGGCTTCTCTGGTCTGCAATTTAAACGTTTTACCAGATGCCATCATGGTAGGGGGTAGCGATAGAAGTAGTTGAAACATTTTGAAATTCTTCATGAAAATTAAATATTTAAAGAACACGTCACTTCATATATACTCAATATGCGATCCTGTAATTAAGGAAATTAATGTCTCCATTGGTGGATTTGTTATAATGAATTCCTGGAACAGTAGATAAAAGGAGCAAATTTGAATATCCATCTCTGTTTCGTTCGAAGTCCTCACATTGTAAGTTATGATCAGTTAGAAACAAATGGATTTTCTGGGTCCTGTCACAGCCAGACAATCATCCATAATTTGTACCTGGGCCTTATAAAGTCGTCCATCAGGGGATTTATAATCATGCACACAGAGTTCTAAAGCCCCAGAAACCCTTATAAAAATTTCCTTTTAGCTTTCTGCTGAAAAACTGTCCTGCTTTCTTCACCTGTGATTATAGAGAATGCCAGCTGACATGTCTGTATTTCCTTAATAGGAGTTTGTTACAGGTTTTCAAAAAGCTTAAGTTGTCAGCTGTTTCTAATCTTCACTAACTTTCATATAAAAATCTTACTGATTCTTTTTATTATTTGAAATATGATAACTTAAATATCAAGATTAAATACAAATCAGGGGAACCTGGCTGTCCCCGTCGGTACAGCGTGGGACTCTTGCTCTCAGGGCCTTGAGTTCGAGCCTCACATTGGGTGTGGAGATTACTTAAAAAAAAAAAAAATTAAAAACAAATCAATAAAGTCACATTTTAGGTTGTGCCTTTTTGAGCACATGCCTTCCCTTTTCATTTTGTTGGCTGTCAGTGTTTTAGAGTCTTGCACTCTGCACTCTTGCAAAATCTTGACCACTGCTAAAATCACAATTTCTAAATGCTAAATATTATACACATATCCCTCCACCCCCGCAACACACACATGGTAGTAGTACTGGGCAGCAACGATACATGCAAAATTTATTTCGCTGAATTTATTTATATCCCTCTACTTTATGCTCTTATTGGATTGGAACTTCTGTTCATGTAATGATAGAAATATCTTAATTATTGCTGGATTTTTTTTTTAAAGAAACCTTTTTATTTTAGAATAGTTTTAGGTTTAGAAAGGAGGCACAGAGACAGCACAGGGAGCTCCCCTGGCCTACACCAGTCTCCCTCTCTTACATTGGTCACAACAAATGACTAGTATCAATATGTTATTATTAGCTAAAATCTCTACTTTATTTGGATTTCCTTAGTGCTTTTTCTGTTCCCAGATCCCATGTTACACTTAAGTCATCATGTCTCCTGAGGCTGCTTTAGACTGTGACAGTTTCGCAGATCTTCCCTGTTTTTGATGGCCTAGATAGCCTTGAGGAGTCCCGGTCAGGGATACCATAGAATAGACATTCTATTAGACATCCAGTTCAGGTGCCCTTTCCTCACAGTTATACTGGGGCTGTGGGCTTTTGGAAGCAAGACCCCAGAGAAAACCCCATTCTTATCACATCATATCAAGGATGCCCATCAAAAGGATGACTCATCACTGGTGATGCTGACCTTGACCGCTTGCTTGAGGTAGTGTTCGTCAGGCTCCTCCACTGTAACATCCCTGTCCCTGCTTTTCCGTGCTGTTCTCTTAGGAAGGAGCTCACTGTGTGCAGCCCTTACCTAAGGAGTGGGGAGGTATGCTTCGCCTCCTGGAGGGGGCCTTGAATTTTTTTCTTAATACATGCAAAATTAAAAAAAAAATTTTTTTTTTTGCATGACACTTGGGTACCATTTTGCTTCTTTTAGACACTTCCCAAATCTTTAGAAACTTTCCCCCATATGACATGTATCATTTAAAGCAGCTTAGATACATTTTCAGTAGAGTTTTTCCAATAGCATTTATGTTTCTAGGTATGCAATGAAATGCTTGGATAAGAAGAGGATCAAGATGAAACAAGGAGAAACATTAGCCTTAAATGAGAGGATTATGTTGTCTCTTGTGAGTACAGGGGTAAGTATTCCGGTTTTGAGCACTGCTTGTTTTTGTATTCGTTGGTTGGTTGGTTTTATATATCAGGACAATTTATTTAAAATACAGGCATTCTTTTCCAGCAAATTATGCAGCTAGCCAGTTCTTGGACGGGTTAGAATTTATAGCAGGGAAGAGCAGCACTAAGTTAATATAAATAGTGTGTAATTCTCATATTATCTCTGTTTAATTTGGGAGTTAGAGAAGTGTTAGCTACCATCATCATGCACACCCACGGCTTCTCCCTTTAGTGGCTGTTTATGGCTTCCATCTTGGCGGAATATGCTTGCAGAGAGGGCAGGAAGTAATCATGGCAACAACAACGAAATCACTTGAGTCTAGTTAAGAACTGACTGCGTGATGGAGGACTAACCCAGAAGAGCACGAGGAAAGCAGCTCTTGTCCTCCATAAATAAACAGAGAGAGGAAACATCTTGGGTTACTCAGGCCTGAACTGGATTTGGGTCTGTCCCCAGTCTCTAGAGGGTGGCTTTATCATTATCTATCTTGCTGCTTTTTTACCTGCTGTGGATTTTGCTCATTTCCATTTCCAAGCCCATGTTTCCACCTGTTGGATATTGTGTTTGTTTGTCAGCTAGCATTTTTAGCTCAGCACGTGCCAAGAACTTTTACCCTGTGCTTTCTTGCAAAATAGTGTCCCATTCTGGCTTCTTTTGCAGTGAATGGTATGACCCACGAGCAAAGCCTTGGCTTTTATTTATTTGAACAGATGTCTATAAAAATACCCAGAAAAACTCAGTGTCCAACCTGGGCATGCCCATGTGCACCAGCAGGCCTGCCAGAGGAGGTCAGAGACTCGGGGTCTCGCAGGGAAGGCAGGAAATGACGGTGGAGTGGCCAGACTCCTGCTGAGTACCTCACATGTGAATTTAAGGTTAAACACTGAGCCAAGAAGGTTTGTGTGCAGTGAGATATATTGGGGAGGGCGTGGCCTCCAAATATCTTAGCTTACCAACCTCACCCAAAGGGTGAAGGAATCAGATTTTAAACTCTTTTTTTTTTAAGATTTTTTTATTTATTTATTCATGACAGACAGAGAGAGAGAGAGAATGAGAGAAGCAGAGGGAGAAGCAGGCTCCCAAGGAGCAGGGAGCCCGATGCGGGACTCGATCCCAGGACCCTGGGATCATGACCTGAGCCGAAGGCAGACGCTTAACCATCTGAGCCACCAAGGCGCCCGGGAATCAGATTTTAATGGTGAATCAGAGAATCCCTTTCAACTAGGAAGCAAGGAACTTGAGACCCAGAGAGGTTAAATTCCTTGTCCAGAGTCTGTGGACTCCCTGGCTAGTGTTCCTTTTTTTTTTTTTTTTTTAAGATTTTAGTTTATTTGAGAGAGAGCGCGTGCGCACACGTGCACGGGGGAGGGGCAGAGGGAGAGAGAACCTCGAGCAAACTCCCTGCTGAGTGCAGAGCCTGACATGGGGCTCAGTCTCATGACCCTGAGGTCATGACCTGAGCCCAAATCGAGAATCAGATGCCCAACCGACTGCGCCACCCAGCCGTCCCCTGTTGTTCCTTTCTTATTATCACCTGATAGGCTCTGTGTTTTTTTGTTTACACCTGTATTTATTGTATTGTGGTTTATATTATTCTAGCATTAGTTTTAAGCAGTTTCAGAAAGGTTATGTGCTACCGAAGTAGAAGAGTATCATAATTTAGCTCAACTGTAATAAGTGAAAATGCCGTAGCTGTAAATAATTTCTATCTATGTGCCGCTGCCTCCCAACATATGGACATTAAGCATTTCAAATAAGAGCTATCCTGTGTGCACGACCATGTTTTCAACTAGTTGGAGTGGAGACTGAGCCCCTTGCACACTGTATTGGAATCAGTTCGAATGGCACTGGTTTCTGGGTTCTTTTGGGAATGTCGTCTTAAATTTCAAACATGGATGTGCATTTACTCCAGATTTTAAGTAGTAATTAAAATATTAATTTTTAATGAGTTTTCTCCAACACCTTGGATATTTATTCTCAAGAAAGCCTATGGAAAAAGAAATTTTTGGTGTTGGAAACTATACATGCAATTTTCATGTCGCATTTTTATATTTATTTTTTCCAGGTGAAGGGGAATATAGTTAAGTAGAGGTATGGTTCCTCCCCAGTCTTACCCTTGAAGGGAGTAAATAAAAAACTGGGATTAATTTGGTCTACTCCTTTGAGCTAACTTTAAAGAATTGTTTATATTTTTTATTCAAATATCAAACCTGGCTTTTGTTTTTGTTTTTTGGGAATTTTGAGGTTCTCTTGTTTTGTTTTGTGTTTTACTTATCAATACATAATTTAACCAAGGGGTAGCTGGCTGAGTCAGAGAGCATGTAATTCTTGATCTCGTGTTGTAAGTTCGAGGCCCACATTGGTGTGGAGCTTACTTAAAACTAAAAGCTTTAAAAAAATAATACATAATTTAGCCAAAAGAGTTGTAATAAAGCTATTTGGAGTTTTCTTTCTTTCTTTCTTTCTTTCTTTCTTTCTTTCTTTCTTTCTTTTTCTGTCTTTTGCTAATCAAAGGCCACTTTTTATGTTTTTTTTAATGATCTTTCGTTTAAAATGGCATCACTAGGTTAAACTTCAGACCAGCCTGTATAGTGTGGTTTCCCAGGGTGTTGGCATGAAACTGAACTGAAGTCACTCATTATAGTTTTGTTTTTACTGGAAGTTTTTTCTTTTTCCTTCCAGTCTCAGATTGAGTGTTTCTTCCCCTGACCTTTCAAAGAAAGGTAGGAAGTACTGTTCCCGGTTTGATTCTGTAATTCTAGAATAGTAAAAAGGGAAATCTTCAAGTTTCAGAACCAGGGTAAGTATCTGGGAAAGAGCAATTAGCTGGGAAAGAGCAATTAGCACCCTCATGAAACAGTCCCGTCATGTCCTTGGAAGCTTACTCATTCATTCCTGAACTATATTGGAGTGCCTAGATTGTGCCAGGCATTCCGCTGCAGGATGGGGGTCCCAAAACGTGACTTTGGTCCTTGCTCTTTTAGAGCCACACAGAACGAGAGAAGGTGATATTGTTCACCTGATCTTGAAATGCATAGATAATTAGGATGTGTGGCAAGAGCCGTGAGACAGGTACCCAGTGCCCGGGAGGCACTTACCAGGGTGGAGGTGACAACGGATACTCCTCAGAAGTCACCGGAGGTGCCAGCGTGTATCTGGGTCCTGAGCACTTCAGGAGGGTTTGAGGACTTCAGGGAAGGTCAGCAGAGCTGGGGTCTGAAGGGATGCGTGAGTCACACAAGATAAAGCTGGAGAGGGGAGAGAGACAGACTGACAGGGACCAGACCAGACCATCAAGAGCTTTCCAGGCCAGTTCTGAGGATTAAAAAAAAAAAAAAATCTTAACAGCAGTTGGAGACAAAGTGTTCGAAGCGGGAAGGATCACATAAGCCTTCCTCTGACTGCAGGGTGGAGAATTCTTAAGTACTTCATGGTTTATTCCATTAGAGTTTCACAGAATCGCTACAAAATACAGGCTGCTTTGCTCAGTCCCTGTAGGAAAATCCTCACTGAGGGTCTACCTCCAAAAGATCCACTAGTTCTTACTGTCTTTAATTGGTAATCAAGGCAAAACATCTTAACAGTGATTATGTTGGGAACGCTACCTGCACCATCATTAAATTGCTGCCTGTTTTGTCGTATTGGTCCGTATTTGGTTCTTTGTGTCTCGAGCTTCACACGAGACCCGGTGTGGTGTCTGCCCAGCACCTGAGGTGAGACACTGCGGTCAGCGTGGAGACAACTGAATCATACATACCCCTTTAACTGAGCTTTCCTTTTACATTGCTACAGAAACCCTGCCTTTGTAAGCAGCATACCATAGAACCCTGGACAAAGTCAGGAGACTTGGGGGTGAGATCTTGGTTGGCTACCAAATTTCTTTATGACCTCAGGCAAGTCATTTCCCCTTTTTAGGGCCTAGTTTCCTTGTCTTAAAAATAAACAAGTTGGACCAGGTGATTTTTTTTTTTTTAAGGGCCCTTCCTACTCAGCCTGTGATTCTAAATCGATGGTTCATGTTCCGTCTCAATAACATAAGATCTTTTTTTCTTAAAAGATTTTTTATTTATTTGTTTGAGAGAGAGAGAGAGAGTGAGAGAGCCCAAGAGTGGGTAGGGTCAGAGGGAGAAGCAGCGGGACTCGATCCTGGGACTCCGGGATTATGACTTGAGCTGAAGGCAGTCGCTTAACTAACTGAGCCACCCAGGCCCCCAGTAACATAAGATCTTAAGTGAACCTTTTGCCCCTTTTGCTACTTTCTCAGGGCTACCATTAGAAGGATCCTATCTCATCGTGTTCAGAAATACCCCTTCGTGGGGTCCACTCTCTCCTTGGTGGAGCGAGTGCAGTTGCTGTCTCTAGCTGGGAAAGACCCTAAGTTCTGGGTCCACCAGCCTCTCTGTGTGACATCTGAATTGCTCTTCAGATCAGGAACCAGAGTGTGTGGGGAACCCCACTAAGGAAGGAGCAGAATGAGCCATCTTCAGCAGGCTACTAGAAAGGTGGTTCCCTATGTAGTTCCAAGAGGGCCCCAGGAAGGCCGCATGGCTTTTTTTTTTTTTTTTTGCAACATGGCTTTTAACAGAAAAAGGAAAGCACTTTTATTTTGCCTATTTAAAGCAAAATTGGGCTTGAAATCAGTAGTCACTAATACCACCTCAACAGCATTTTAAGGCAAAAACTAGGTGATCACAAAATGAAATTTGTAATTCATTCTGGAGTGATTTCCTCTGGAAGATATATGGAAATTGAATTCAAGTTCTCGATTCTCTGGTATAGAAAGGTATTAACTCAGATTTATTGGTCTGCCCTGAAAACAGAGGTTTGGACAATGCAAATTCAGTGTATGGATTATTCTGTTGAAACTTGAATATTTTCTGTGGAATTTAATAATTTTTTGTTTCTGTTAAAAAAGTGGATATAGTTGGTTTTTTTTTTTGCCAGTTTTGATTTGAATCAGGTGAGTGGCGAGTATACACTGTATGTAAAGACCTAGTCATAGATCTGGCTTAGCACCGATGAAGTTTCCCAAGGGAACACATGCCCGCGTCCGGCACTCCGGTCAAGGGACAGAAAGTGACCTGTATTCCAGAAGCCTTGTGCCCCTTCCGGTCACCCACCCCTCCCCCAGGCTAACCACTGCCCGGATTTCCAACACCGAAATTTAGCTTTGCCTGTGTCTGGGCTTTGTCTGAATGTATTCTTCTGTGTCTGGGCCTCTGTTGCTCAGTGTTGCGTGCGAGATCCATCTGAGTCATTGCCCAGAGCAGTAGGGCATCCTGCAGCTAAACAGCGGAGGCCCGCAAGCTGTGCGAGGCCCGTGAACCAGATCTGGCTTGCAGCCTGTTTCTGTGCAGCCCGTGAACCAGGGATGGTTTTTACGTTCTTAAGGGATTGTATAGAAAATAAACAAAGCATATGGAGCAGAGACCGCATGGAGCCTGTAAAAGCGAGAACAGTTACTGTCTAGCCCCTTGCAAAAAAGTTTGCTGACCGTGGCTGTCTAGTATTCCACTGCACAAATATCCCACAGTTCATGCATCCATTCTAACATTGACGGATCACTTCCCAGTTTGGGCTATTGTGAATAGTGCTATGAGGAAGAGTCTCATGCCGTTCTCTTTGGTGCATAGAAGTCTAGGTTGCTGTGAGGTGTATACCCGGGAGTGGAAATGCTGGGTCATAGGGTTTGCAGACGGTGCTCAGCTTTGGCAGATAGCACCAGTTTGCGAGAGCACTTGTACCATTGTGTGCTCCCAGAAGCCATATATGGGAGATCCATTTCCACCCTATCTTTCCAACCACTTGGTATTGTCAGTCTCTTTAATTTTAGCCATTCTCGTGGGTTTTAGCGATAACACATTGCAATAACACATTTCCTTGGGGACCACTGTGGTCCAGCATCTGTTCAGAGGCTTGTGAGCTATTTGATACTCTCTTACGTGAAGTGCCCATTTTTAAAATTAATTAATTACTGTTGTTATTACTACTGCTGCCTTTTTTTTTTGCCATTATTCTGTTGGTTGTTTGTCTTCTTCTTTATTGATTTACCAGAGTTCTTTGTATAGTCTAAATATGAGTCCTTTATGTGTGTATGGATTGCAGATATCTTCTCCTTTTCTGTGACTTGCCTTTTTACTCTCTTAATAGTATCTTCTGAAGAACACAAGTTCTTAATTTTATTGTAGTCCAGTTTAGCAATGCTTTTACTGCTAGTGCTTTTTCATGGCCTAAGAAATCTTTACTTACCCTAAGGTCATGAAGATATTCTCCTTTGTTTTCCTCTAGAAGCTTCATTGTTTTCCATTTAAATCTTTGTATGCCTGGAGTTGACTTTAGTGTGTGGTGTGAGGTAGGGGTGGATGTTCACTTCCTTTGTGCAAATACCCAATTGCTCCAGTACTGTTGATTGGGAAGGCCATCATTTCTTCCCACCCTGTTTTGTCCGTCTATCACAAATCAATTGACTGTTTATGCTTGAGTCTATTTCAGGATTCTCTCTTTTGTTCTGTTGGTCAGTTTGTCCGTCCTTGGGCTACTACCACACTGTCTGATTTACTGTTGCTTTATAGTAAGTCTTGATATCTGGTGATGTAACTTTTCCAGGTTTGTTTTTCTTCTAGAATGTCTCTACTTTTCCTAGCTGTGTACATCTTCGTATACATTTTGGAATCAGCTTGTTGATTTTCATTTTAATTAAAATTGCACAGAATCTCTAGATTACTTTGGGGAAAACTGACGTCTTTATAGTTGAGTTATTCAGTTCCTGACCTTGGTATATTTTTCCGCTTTGAAAAGCTAGTTGAATTCCCTTCTATGCTCGCCCAGTGTTTCAAGACAATAATATAGGTATTTCCTCCCACTGTGATATGGTTATTCCAATGTCAGAATCTGAGATTGAAATGGATATTTGACTAGCCAGCACAAAAATGTTGACCAATAAAAAGACTAGCAAGGCAGCAATATTTTTCTGTAGAATCTGGGTCCTTTGAAGATGCAGATAAAAGGGTCATGAATGAATCTGAGAGAGATGAGACCTTTGAATTCATCTGTTCCACTTAGTAATGCTCTGTCTCTATGCATTTTGTCATGTTATCAGATCTGTTTTGCTGGGACCATTAAGGTTACCACGGAGGGGTCTGTGCTTAATGCACAGGGCAGCGGTGTGGATGAGAAAAGCTGTGGATATTGTTTGGTAGCAGATAACACGTGCTTCCCGGGATAGCTTTTGTTTTTCTTACAAACTCTTGCTTTTTCTCTCTAGGACTGCCCTTTCATTGTCTGTATGACCTATGCCTTCCATACTCCAGATAAACTCTGCTTCATCTTGGATCTGATGAACGGTGAGCGACGCACAGGAAGTCTGAATGCAGGGAAAGACGTCGCCGGGACATGACACCGATCTAGGCACCCTGGCGGTTTGGGTCTTTTGGATAATTGGGTTCCCACTGAAGTTTAAGGAAACCTTACTCTTCCAAGTTTCCCTTAGAATTCATTTTAAAATGTTGACCACCATTCCCCTATGGCCCTCCTAGACTCTCACCAGGAAATTGCATTTTCTGGAAAAGATTTTCATAAAATACACAGAGTGAAACTACATTTTCTGGAATGCAGCTGGCCTAGATCTTTAATTAGCTTGTTTCCTGACCCTCAGCTTTTAGGATTGAAATCCCTCATAAGAACGAAGGCCAAAGATAGAAGTGTATTTGGAAACCAAATTTGAAGGACTGGCTGTGGGCCAGCATGGCTTCGGGCCGAATCTTCTGTACCCTTAGCCCAGACCAGCCAGCCATTGATCCTTTAAGCTATGAATGATGACGCTGCAAATGCCGAGAAAGTTCTAGCTGGAAAAATAGTTTTCTGATACTAGAGAGTGACACGGTATATATTCCAAGTGTTTTTAGTAATGAGAGCTTGAAAGGAAATGCATACGGTATAGCAAATGAATTACCTTTTTTTTGGAAGTTCATTTGAAGTTCTGTTATGTTTTGAGGGTTTGACTTAAAACCAGATCTGTTCAACAACGTGGAGGAATTTTCCAGACATAATAATGGGCAAAGAAGCCAGAAACCATAGCATGTCTCCTATGTGATTCCATGTACGTGACTCTCAGAACAGGCAAAGCTAATGGATGGTGAGAGGTCAGAATGGAGTCCCTTGGCCTAACCAGGGGCGGGCGCTGAGGCATTGACAGGGAAGGGCATGGGGCACCCTCTGGGATGCCGGAAATCTTTTACATCTTGATCTGCCAGCAGTTATACAGGAACACGTGTGCGTGAAAGGGGGAGATACGTAAGCAAAATCAGGGGCCATAAAGCTGGCCACACATTAACTTCTCCAGATCAGTAGAGGCTATTCCTTTACAGTTTATAAGAACTTTCCCTTACCCTGTTGGTGGCATTCTTTGTCTCTGTAACTTGAGCTCATATGATGATTGCCTTTTTCCAACATTTTATTATGAAAAGTTGCAAACATGGGGCAAAAATGGAAAGAATTTTCCTGGGAACACCCAAATACCCACCTCCCTGGATTTCACCAGTTAAATTTTTACTGTATCTGCTTTCCCAAATATCTATCAATGTGATCATTTTGTTTCTCTGTGTGCTTCTTTCTTTATTGTCCACGGAGCCAGTTGCTAAGGCATCTGCTGGATCATTACATGGTCGGTCCAGTTACTAGACAGGATGTAAATACTCAAAGCAGAGAACCTAGCTGCCCCCCACCCCCACCCTGTGAAGGTGCATCTGGGAGCTGGACTCCCAGTCTGAGAGTGATGACTGTGTTGTATATTGTCCCGGCCATCCCGGCATGAAAGTCTTCTAATGTTTGAGATTCCTCTATACTTCTGAAAGTGTTTTGGCAAACTACAGAAGTCAAAAGACAGATACACAGACAAAGCAGAAGCAAAGTTTGCCTCTTTTCAACTGTGTCCTATTTAGGATGGCAATGATTTTTGTTTCCTGTGAACTGACACACTTTGTATTAACCTCTGCGTCTCTGGTTCCAGGGGGCGATTTGCACTATCACCTTTCACAACATGGGGTATTTTCTGAGAAGGAGATGCGGTTTTACGCCACTGAAATCATCCTGGGGCTGGAACACATGCACAATCGGTTTGTGGTTTACAGAGATCTGAAGGTAAGGCACTCTGTTTCCGGGACCTGCACAGTAGGTATTGTGGTCCTGGGTCTCCAGACGGTCCCTTGTCTTTCACAGGACATGCCATTTCCCTCCCCTCAGCCCTGGTGAGGTCACATCTGTGTGATGTCTCTCTGCCCAGACTCTAAACTCTGTGCCAGGCACTCCTTTCCTTCCTAGTTGTCACTGCCAGCTCAGCGTGTGTTCCCCTGCCTGGCGCAGCACACACACCAACTCAAAAATTGCAATGAATTAATGAAAAGCAAGGTAGGAGTTTCGTGGTGTTGCTGATGTGACAGTTAATTGAAATGCACTTAATGTTCACTAAGCAACTGGTTTGGCCATGGCTCTGTGTTAGAACTGGTGATGTACAAAGATGAAAAGCAGAGAATGTGTGTCTTCCAGGATTTATACAGGGGTGAACCGAGACACAGAACGGCCGAGTCCTAGCTCGTTGAGGCAGGGCAAATCAACCTGCAGAACTTCCCCTAAAGGCCACTCTGAGAGTTTCACGTTGTTTTAGGACTGTCTTCAAAATCACTAACAGATTTCTAGGTCCCTGAACTATGGAGCCCCAGACGGCTGTGTCTGGGCTTCTTCATTCTTATTCTCTCCGGATTTGGAAAAAAATGCAGTGAGTCTATTCCAAGTTTCCCCCTTCCAGGCCATGGTGCTCGGTCCTGGGTTCTGCATTCATAAGGGAGCTAGGAGTTTGCTCGGTGCCTCCGTGGTGACACTCATCGCGAGAAGACGGGGATAGAGATAAAAGGGACCTTGACAAATTGTAGAAATGATCATGCAAATACAGTAATGTGCACATAATAATGAGGAGAAAAATGATAGGAGAGACAGTTTCCCAACAGTTACATTCCGGGGGGAGGTGTTTGCCTTCTCTTTCAGATTCTTTCTCAAATGAATCCAGTGTAACCGACTGAAATGTGCAGTTTACGCTCCTTTCTCTCAGGAGCTGCTGTGTTTTGATTAGCTGTCTTCGCTTTTTAAGGTTGCCTTCCAAGAACCTAAAATATTATATTTTATTTTTGAGCCTCTTACTTTGTCACGAAACACGTCATAAAATTTAAAGCTTTCTGCAAGGTTACGAAATTATCTCCTTAGTTTTCATCTGAGCATGAAGAAGAAAAAAATGTATTTTCATTGAATTAGAAATAATTAGACACTGGTTGGCACATGACATTTCATTTCCTCCTGTGAGTTTTGCAGAAGAATAAACTACATGCTGAAGGCCCATGAAGCACTATTGTAATACATTTTAATTTAGATCTGTAACTGGTCTGTAATCATCTTTATGCTGTATTTTTTGTTTTGTTTTGTTTTCTAAGCTATTTAGTAGGCAGTCGTATTTTTTAATTTCTATTCAAACTGAATTCTAGTCACTCATGATTATTCATGCTTCAGTTTTATAATAGCATGCCATTTATTTTTATTTCAAGCAAAACAATAGTTGATCCCCAGCAGAAAAATATTAAGATGACTGTAATTCAATATATATTAGGGAGAGGAGCTTTGTTTTCCATGATTATGCTGGCTAAATCTAATCTCAGTAGATACATTTCATCAGAGTTGTGGTCAGAGTCATCCTGGGTCATTCGGTGAGGTCCTGGGTTCTGATTCTGTCCTCAGAAGCAGAAGTGCCATTCATCGGGATTGGTGCAGCCCTGTGGAATGTGTTGATTTCTTAGGTCCATGGTGGTACATTCTCGTGAGATTCCTTTCTGTCCTGTGCCTCGTGGGCTCGTCCCCTGGGGCCTTTGTGGTTCACAGAAACTGAGAAGCTGGTGGACTCGCTCCCTCTGTGGAGAGGTGTGCGGCTCTGGCTGGGCCACTGTTCGCTCTTCTGGAGGGGGTGGGGGCACGGGAAATACTTTTTAACTCTGATGAACTGTGGTCATCAGCCCTGCAAGCTCCCTGCCTTGTGTCTCATTATCTCATGAGTAGACTCCTTTGTGTCTGTCATTGCCACTTTCCTGCGGGATTTAAACATGAAAAGTGTGACTTTCCGCATCGTACCCAACTTGGATGTGATAGTGTGGAATTCGTGTTCAGATAAAATGATAGGGTATCACGTTCCTGTGATTGTAGAGATTCTCAAAGCTTATGACAATTTGGGAACTCCTGAAGATCATCTTGTCTTTCTCTTCAGCCCGCAAATATCCTCCTGGATGAGCACGGACACGTCAGGATATCCGATCTCGGTCTTGCCTGTGACTTTTCCAAAAAGAAGCCCCATGCGAGTGTGTGAGTAGTGCCATCAGCTCTGTTCACCGTTCACTGTTGTTCCTCTACAGCGACGCGTGGATTGGCTCGGACCCCAGTCTGCTAACTTGTTCCCCCAGCTTTTTCTTGCCAGAGGGGATTGTCCATATGTGATAACGCTGGGTTGGGGCCAGGCCCCATAGCCCTGGTTATGGGAGCGGAGCTAAGCTGGGTGTGCGTCCTCCGTCTTTGGGGAGTGAAGATGGGCCCGCAGCGTGACCGCCGGGGCCTGGGTGTCTGTGGGGGAGAGAAGGGCCTCCGCAGCAGACCTGAGCCTGTGCCGGCTGTGCGACCCTAGTCAGTCTGTTTACCTGCTTGCCCCTCCGTCTTCTCGTCTAGAAAGTAGGCAGTACTAAATCCCTGCAATTGTCCTAAGGAGAAAGGGAAGCCCTTGTGCCCGGGAAGGTGCAGGGGCATCTGCATGCAGCTGTCCAAGGGAGGCCCAGAGCTCAAGCGTCTCTCTCCATCTACTTTCTCCTTTGTTTTCAAAATGGCTTTTTATGTCCCTGAAGCGAAATTAGGAATCTTTTTTTTCTAATTAAAAACACAAATCATCTGCTAGCAGGCCCTGTTAGACTTGAGCATTAACTACATCAGTCCTCCAACAGACCATGCGGAGGGAACCCCCTGCCCCACAGCCCTCAGCCAGCACCTGACCCCTCTGCTCACCCCTGTCCAGGGACTGACAGGTCCTGGGCCTCTGGGGAAGCAGAAGGGAACACACACTGCTTTTCATTTCTGTTCCTTCGGCATCAGTTTATCCGGGTGGAGAGCGTGGACATGTGTGCATTTTGTGGAAGAGCAGATGAGTGTTGCTTTATTCTTTTTTTTTTTTTTTTTTTGGTAATTGTATCACTCTCAGCACTGAAATCATTTAAAATTACATTTTATTGTCCCTCTTGAGTTAACATTCATCTCCCAGGGGTCTCACCTCACGCCTCCATGCAGAAAATCAACCCCAGACCCTTCTTTCTGTGGGTGTAGAGGTCAAGTGGTTCTGCATTGCAATACCTGATCCGAGGGGCTAATTTAAGCCAGAGTCACCTTTTTAAAACCCGGAGCAAACCTGTGTGGTGGAGAGCACCGATTCTGTAAACAGATTTCTCCCTTCCTACAGAATCTGGGGTCCAGAGATAATGGCATTAGCATTTTGCCAGCACTTTACAATTATTAGGCCAGAATCTGTGGTTGCATAAGCTTCTCTCAGCAAGTTCATCAGGCATTTTTAAGAGAGCTGTTTGAATTTTTAATGCGGTAGCTATTTGGTATGCTAATTTCATCAATTTAGTGTAGCCACCTCGGAAGGCGAATCCAAGAGCTCAGAAGAGTTAATCTTGCAAAGGAATTAATTCCAGTGATGGGGTTATTGATTTCCTTACAGAGCTGCACCCACTTCTTACTGTAATTCACCTGTCAGCTCTGAGCGGTGAGCTGTTCTCGGATTCCAACAGCAACTGTAGAAGGGGGTAGGATCGGGAAGGTTGGTTTCCATGCTTGCATGATGATAGTGAGGCCACTCTTAAAAGTACATCATCTCCTGGCCACAGACAAAGGCTTTCGAGGCAGCAGATCTGGATTTGAATCCGCTTCCAAGCTGTGCCTTCTTTTTTCCTCTCTCTAAAGAGGAGATGCCAGTGGTGTTTATTTCATCTGAGTGTTGTGAGGGTCAAGTCCACTGATGAATGCAACAAGCTTTTAGGTACCATTGGCTGGCGGGGGCAGTGCCGCAGGGACCCCCCGGAACTGGCCGTGTAGGGAGGGGCTGGTGTGGGGTTCGCGGTCGTGCCAGCAGCTGCAGTGCTCACCGCGTCACTGGCTGGACATCCCCTGTCCCAGGCATGCGGGGCCGGCTGCTTTGAATAAGCTCTTATCTTCACAGAAGTGCTGGAGGTTACAACCGGTGGAATAATCTACACTCTGGTGTGGACACTGAAGTCCAGAGACATCGAGTAACTTGAACAGGGTCACAGACTCGGCACATGGTGGGGCTAGAATTAAAGTCCAGTTCTGTCTGAGTCCAGAGCTTGGACTCCTTACCCTACATGGGTGAACTCCCCGAAGCTAGGAGATGGTCCACTTCGGACTCGACGAGGGCTTTTGGCCAGAATTTCACCCTGGACGTGGTTTCCCAAGTCTTTTCAAAGCTGTAGCTGTGATCCTTGGACTTCACCTAGCTGGTCTGTCTACAGGAAGTGTTGTGGTGGAGGTTCCCGATTTGGGCTTCAACTGAGTGGGTCCATTTAATGACTCGCAAATTACTGTAAACTGAAAGTTAGCTATGTGGTAGTCCTGAGAAAGCAGAGAAAGGCTTTCGGGATTGAATAGATTACCAGTGCCAGATTGGAGTTCTAGCTTATTTTCTCTAAGACAGCAAGGCTGTGGTCTCATGCCACAGTGTCTCAGAACCTCCAGGCCTTCTTTCAGGGTTCAGAGTAGTTCGGATCTCCAGTGGGAAATGTGGGGAAGCAGCAGTCGCTGCCAGAGAGGCAGAATCAGAAAGCCACATGGCAGGGGGTCCGGGATCCAGCTCTGATTGTGTTCAGTGTCAGCTTAGCCCCCTGTGTTTATCCTTGTAGTATTTTCCCATCCCAGAAGTGGGTTTTGATCCTGGGAATCATAGGCTTGCAGGTCACCACCAAGGTCTATATGGGCAGCGCTGAAATGAACCCTTCCCCGAGACTGGTTCGGATGCCCCTCCTAGAACCCTCCCGTGCCCTCACAGTGTGGCTGGCTGGCCTGACGCGGTCAGACTTCGGATTCCGGATAGTGGAGCTCATCCAAGTGCTGGGCCTGCCGTGATGGACCAGTCCCTGTTTTCACTGCTTGAGAGCCATCTTCCAAAGTGAGAACGCTTTAGAGCCCAGTGCTGATCCTGGATCGGGAATGATTATGAGTGATCCAGGATCACTTTTCTGAGAAGATTCTCAGTGAGCATAACTTAAACGTGACTCTAATAAAATAAGACTAGAGATTAACACCCCTGACGTGGATCAAGTTGTTCTTCTGTGCCATCACCCTTCTAACCCCTTACGTACGTGGAATCTGCGTGGAAGCCCCGCGCGATAGAGGTGTTGTCTCAGCACCCACCTTGTCAAGGAAGATCAGCCAGGGTGGACAGGTTGGAGGGTGTAGCATTTGCAGGAACCGTTTCGGGCTGTGTCTTTGAAAGCCCCCCACGAGCCTCCTTCTCGCTCTTCTAGAAGGAACAGTGCGCGCTCAGATCCTGAAGGAGGGGCGGGGAATGGTACAACAGGAGGGTATTCAGAGTTGCAGAATAGTGCAATTCAAGATAAAATGGTTGTCCTCCCAAATCTCTTTCTCAACTTCCTGGAAACCATCCTCACATTTGCTTAGCGGGTCCTTTGGTCTGTCGGCAGCCCTCAAAACCGGACATGGGATCTCTCCATCTTTTGTACCTGTCGGCTTGGCCCCCCTCTTCTTCCCCACCCCCTTGGGGCCTGTCACTGACTGTGTTAGTAAGTAGCCCCCACCCTTAGCATGTGCTAAGGACTTATCACAGAGGTGGTGCCACGCAGGGGGGATGTCCCCATCCCTTGAGGTCCATGGCACCACCTGTAGGTGTCTGCTTATCTTCCCCTCCCCCAGCCTCACGCCCACCCTTTGTACGTCCTCACAAGAGCTCTGGAACAGGCAGGAGACCTCTTCATGGCTGTAGTGCAGAAAGACTGACGTGGTTCAGATTTCCCCTCCGAGACTGGAGCTCGCATGTTTTCATATTTATCTCGTACTGTAATTTATTTATATTCATTCTTATACTAATTAAGACAGGAAAGGTTGTTTTGTTCCATGCGTCATGTTGTGTGGAGCCCCCATGGCCCCCTCCCCTGTGTTTATAGTTCCTGCCGTTCCACAAAGGACGTCTGATCCTCTTGGCTGAGCTGTTACCATTTTGTAAGGTGGGCGTGTTCTGATAACTGTGTGTGCACTTTCTTCTCCCTAGTGGCACCCATGGGTACATGGCCCCCGAGGTGCTGCAGAAGGGGACAGCGTATGACAGCAGTGCCGACTGGTTCTCCCTGGGTTGCATGCTTTTCAAGCTTCTGCGAGGGTGAGTGAAATGCATCCTCTGTTACCGTCGCCGTGGTATGTCCTTGGATCAAACCCAGGCCAGTTAGACATTGTTAGGCTCTAACACCATTTTAGATCACACAGTGCTAACCTAGATGATGACCAGGGCTTGTTCTGCCTTATAAAAGCGAGAGCTTTGCTCCCATAAACTTTTAGGCAAAAGCTTATAGTTTCGTATTTTTGTTCCATACCTTGTAGGAATGTCAACACATTTAAGCCTAAAAGAAGACTGCTTTGAAGTGGTCCCAGGGATAATCCTTATTTGGGGCCTGAGAGTTATTTTAAAATGTGGATAATTGAAGAAGGTAGGATAATCTTTTTCGTTAGGAATCAGTTACTCATGATTGTCTTGCCAACGTTAAGCATTCTGAGGGTTACAAGAAAGGACCAAGACCCAAAGTGAACCGATTTTAAAAGCGTGCATGTATTCAGAAGCGTGCTGAAGTTAATTTGCTTTTCGTAAAACACAAAAATGAAACTGCGTAATTTTGTATTTTTAATTAATTGGTGTTAGTTCTCAACCACCAAAGATGGTGAAATAGAGTGGAAGGAGTAGGGTATGAAAGCACTGTCAAAAATATGTCCCTGTATTGAGCACAAGGATTATGTTAACATTTTTCCATTAATTTTTAAGAATTTTCAGCCAACCGGAATGGAAATCTTAAGTTTTGAAAATATGTTTTTGGTCATCCTCATCCACAAGGACACAAAAAGCACTTTATGTTAACATTTCCTGGTCAAGACCCTCCTTCTCCTATTTCTGCTGGGAACACGACAGGTCTGGTCGTTTGCTGAGCTTTTCACATTTCCACTGGGAAGCCTCGTTGAGCACTGCCACATCCTCTTCCCATAATTAGCACCCTTGGCAAAGGGGCTGGACTCCATGTTTCCCCCAGATTAGGTTCCCAGCACTCTTGCTGCTTCCCCAGGACCCTGGTAATCTAGTTGTTCTCTGCTCACCGTTTTCACTGGGGAACCAAAATTGTATTACTGCCCAGAGAGCCAGGTCCTGTTGGTCCTTAATTGAATTACTGTATATGTGGAGCCTGGATGGCCCTAATTCACATCATCAGACTCGCTGACCTAATTAGAGAGTTTCTGCAAGACAGGCCAGAGAAAACCACTTCCCACACAAGCCATCCTTCCACCCGGTGGAGTCTCTCTATGCGAGGTTAGCGCGCGAAGACATGCGTTGGGTCTTTGTCTGGGCCCCCACCGGAGATGGGGTGGGAGGTACAGAATCCCCACCCCTGGAATTTTGAGACAGTAAAATTCCATGCAACAGTGAAACCGTTGACTACATCAAGTCAAGATTGAAAAATCAATAGTAAAATGTCACAGGGAAACCTGCCAAGCCGTGTATTTAGGGCTTGGTCCATGTCTTTGTTTCGTTTGATACTAGTCTGTTTATAATAATGTCCATGCATATAGATTGGGGATCATCTGGCATGACACTGTTTTTGAAAGACCTGAAAATGTAATTATTAATGATACACCAGCAGTGTGATTTTTTTGTGGTTAATAAAGTGAATCCAGCCATATCTGGCCACAGGTCAGGTTCAGAGTGCTGAATTGGGCGGGATTCATTCCTCATGGGTCCTCGAGCGGGCTCAGGGGAAACGCTGTGTTCACTGTGGCTCCCATCAAGAGGAGTCTTGGCCGACAGGAGGACATCCGGAGCTGCGGCTCCCATCAAGAGGAGTCCTGGCCGACAGGAGGAC